TGAAGCTTTTGCAACAGGAGATGCAAAAGCCTGATACCACTGAGAGGTGCTATTTCAAATACTGTGGTATATAAGATGGACTGAATGATGTTTGGGAACTAGGAGGGCTGAGAAACACAGCACAGCTGCTTAGTTCCAGTTTGTAACTAACCAAATTCATGGGCTGTCTCTGTCTGCAGGAGCTGCAGCGCACAGCACAGCTGCACAGTTCCAGTTTGTAACTAACCAAATTTGTGGGCTGTCTCTGTCTGCAGGAGCTGCAGCGGGAGAACACCTTTCTTCGAGCACAGTTCACAGAGAAGACTGAATCCCTCAGTAAAGAAAAGATTGAATTGGAGAAAAAACTGGCTGCTGCAGAGGTGGATGCAAAGCTGATCCGGGAGTCACTGAAGGAAACTATGCAGAAACATGCAGAGGAGTTAAAAAAACAGGAAGAAAGGGTATGATCCCACTGCTCTAGAGACGGAAAGGTGTTCTTTCTTTGAGAAGCCAAAAGTCAGTGTAATGCCCAGATGAAAGTTTTCTGTGGCAGTGTGTTATTGCAGGTATTTTCTGACCTCCTGGTGGAGTACTTTAGTTTATAAGCAAAAGCCCTTCCTCCTGCAGTTAGAAGTATTTCAGTACCTCCCCTTTTAACCAGAGAAGCTGCCTGGCTTTTGCTAAGTGAGCAAAAATGCTGCTGAGTTAAGGTGATCTCATATTCTGGTATTGAGTGCTGTACAAAAAGGTAAATGAGTGGACTTAAAGAGCAATGAAGAATGGACAAAGAAATTATATAAATTAAACTTGTATGTAACTGTCCCTGCAGGTAAAGGGAAGAGATAAACACATTAATAACCTTAAAAAGAAATGCCAGAAGGAATCTGAACAAAACAGAGAGAGACAACAGAGAATCGAGACCCTGGAACGATACCTGGCTGATCTGCCAACCCTTGAGGACCACCAGAAACAGAGTCAGAAGGTAAAACTTCCTCTGATTTCTGATGATAAAGAGGAATGGGGGAATATTCTGAGCTATAGCTGAGAGTTGCCACATAGGTAGTAAAAAATCTGCCTTGTGAATGTAATAGAAACATGGTATGTGTGTGGTGAAACTCCTGGGAAGTCTCTAGAGTCTTGTGATGGTCTTTGTTGCAGCTGAAGGAATCTGAACTGAAGAGTGCTGCTATGCAGGAAACAGTGCTGGCACTGGAAACAGAGCTTGGAGATGTCCGGGCTGCTTTCAGGGAGCAAGAGTTGCAGCTAGAAACCCAAAAACACAAGGAGCTGGAGCTTCTTTCCACTGTGCGCAGGTAAAAATGGGGAGGATTAGAATTATCTTTATCTTAGCAGTGAAGTTGCTGCAGAAGAGCAGTGATGATTCAGCAAACCACTGTCCCACCCATCAGAACCAGGTTCCCACAGATGTGTGATGATGATGTGAGTTCTCACCAAAATGCTGTGTTCAAATTGGGGGTGCCAGCAGTGGAGGCTGGGAGCAGAACCAGGTGGCTGAAAGAAAGACAAAACCCCTGTTTTGTCACCTGGGTTTGTCTGTGTCCTCAGTTTATTACTCTCAAATGTAAACCCTTGCAAAATGGAACTACATAATCCACAATTATTGTGTCTCTGCAAATATGCCAATATCGTGGGTAGGGCTGTGTCCAGGGAGAGGGACTCCCTCCTTCACAGCCCTTCCAGTTTGCAAGCTGGGATGCAAACAGGGCATCTTCATCTGATATGAAGATCTTTTGCCTCATTGTTTAGTGAAGGGGAAACACCCTAAATAAGGCTGGCTTTCCCATGGTGTTCTGCTAATTTCAGCTTGCAGGACAAGGTGCAGCAGTGTCTAAAGAATGCAGAGAGAGGACCTTCTGCCCAGGATGGGGAGAGACAGAAAATAGAAAATGACACTCTGAAGAAAGAATGTGACCGCCTCAGGAAGGTAACAGACTGTCCCAACTGGGAATCACACATTTTTCCTTCCACTGAGTCACGCCAGGGGCTAAAATGAAATCAGGGACTCTTGCAGTCATAGGCAGTGACAATTGCACTGAACCAGCAGTTCCTGGAATTCTAAATGGAGGGGTTTTAAAAACTGATCTTGGTGTGATAACTGTGCACACTTACAGTAACGCTGGAGAGAAATTGCAGAATGCAGAAGAGGGGAGAGGAAAACCACAAGAATGCAACTTCTCCGGTCTGTTTTTAGCTGATAATTCTAATGGTGCCTCTTATCAGGTACCTTTTGTCAGGGAATCTAAGTCCACTACTAACAGAGGTGGTGCTTAAAGCTGTAAGTGGACAGGAAAGAGGAGAGGGGATGGTGTCCTACAGGAGAAATCCTGGTGGTATTTCCAACTCTGTGTGGTCAGTTCTGATGCCTCTGCTTTTGATTCCAGATTGTGGACAAACAGCAGAAGAAGATGGAGCAGTTGTCCTTACAAGTAAAGGTGAGAGGTGACTGCAGAGGGTCGTAGAGTTTAGAATCTGCTGTGAAGTGACTTAGACTTACTGCTTTCCCATGGTCTTTTCTAGAATGTGGAAGAACAGGTGGCTCAGGAAGAGGGGACAAGCCAAGCTCTGAAAGAGGAGGCAGTGAGAAGAGAAAATGCACTGCAGCAGCTCCGGAGCGCTGTGAAAGAGGTCAGAGCAAGAGCATTTTGAGTGCCCGAGCGCTGAATGAACAATGGGATTGTCTTTTAGCAAGGCCCTTAATTTGCAGTCAGCAGCACAACCTCTCCTGCTTCCTGCTAGTCAGTTGATCTGAAAGGAGCTCTTCTCTGTTGAAAAGCAGGAGGAAAGGCAGTTGCTGCCTGGGGAACTTCAGCTGAGGCTGTGGGTTTTGGTGGAGGACGCTGAGCTTGCCAGCTGGGGGCAGCAAGGTGGTGAGCTGGGCTCCAAACTCAAACTACAGCCCTGAGCCCTGTTTTTAAGCCTAAAGGAAGCCAAGCACAATGGCAGCCCTTGAGGGAAGGGATGGCAGTGTTGGGGTGAGCGACTGGTGTACAACCTCCTGGAAGCTTATTTTGTTGCATCATGCCTCAGCAGGGACAATGTAGCGTCACGGGGCACTTCCCAGTTCAGCCTGGAGAAGAGAATGCTCCAGGGAGACCTTAGAGCCCCTTCCAGTCCCTAAAGGGGCCTACAGAAAAAAAATGGGGAAGGACTCTTTGTCAGGGAATGTAGTAATAGAACGAGGGAGAACAGTTTTAAACTGAAAGAGGGGAGACTGAGATGAGATTGCTTATTGCTCTCTCCAACTCCCTGACATGGGGAAGGACTCGTTGTCAGGGAATGTAGCAATAGGGTGAGGGAGAACAGTTTTAAACTGAAAGACGGGAGACTGAAATGAGATCTCGGGAAGGAACTCTTTGCTGTGAGGGTGGTGAGACACTGGGACAGGTTGCCCAGAGAAGCTGTGGCTGCCCCATCCCTGGAGGGGTTCAAGACCAGGTTGGAGGGGGCTTGGAGCAACCTGGTCTGGTGGGAGATGTCCCTGCCTGGGGTAGAGGGGTTGGAACTGGATAATCTTTAAGGTCCCTTCCAACCCAAACCATTCTTTGATTCCTATCTGAGCCAGGAAAGCCAAATGCTCACACCCTGTAGGACTGACACTCATCTGGTGAGAGTAGGGAGGGCTTGATGTAAACCTGCTGCTCTTGCCTTTGGTGTTCCCATCATCATTGAGCAGTTGTGTTAACTGTTAAGTGTGCCAGTTCTGACCCCCAAAATCTGCTGCGTCTGTTTGTTCAGCTTTCGGTGCAGAACCAGGATCTCATTGAGAAGAACCTGACCCTTCAGGAGCGGCTCCGGCAGGCGGAGCTGACAACCCAGCCTCTGCCTGCTGAGACAGCCCACCTCGCCCAGGAGCTACACAGCGAGCTGGCCAGTTGTCTGCAGGATTTACAGTCTGTCTACAGCATTGTCACTATCTGAGCCGGGAAAGCCAAATGCTCACACCCTGTAGGACTGACACTCATCTGGTGAGAGTAGGGAGGGCTTGATGTAAACCTGCTGCTCTTGCCTTTGGTGTTCCAATCATCATTGAGCAGTTGTGTTAACTTTTAAGTGTGCCAGTTCTGACCCCCAAAATCTGCTGCGTCTGTTTGTTCAGCTTTCGGTGCAGAACCAGGATCTCATTGAGAAGAACCTGACCCTTCAGGAGCGACTGCGGCAGGCGGAGCTGACAACCCAGCCTCTGCCTGCTGAGACAGCCCACCTCGCCCAGGAGCTACACAGCGAGCTGGCCAGTTGTCTGCAGGATTTACAGTCTGTCTACAGCATTGTCACTCACAGGGCTCAGGGCAAGGATCCCAACCTCTCTCTGCTCCTGGGCATTCGCTGTGAGTATGCAGAGCAATAGCAGAGCAAAGCCTTCGGTTCCTGCGCTGTGGCAGAGTTAAATAACTCACACATAGCTTAGAATGGAAGGTTCTTATATTTCTGGGGTTCTGAACCTTCTCTCTGTGGTCAGCTAGCTCTAAAGGTGCATGCTGTAATAACTAAATATTAAGTAGTACCTCTCTTGCAAATGTGTGTTGGTTTTTCTGGCTTGCTTGCAAATGTCTGTGATCCTTGGTTTTAGAATTGCGTGTGAGGTAACTCCCTTCTCTGCCCCCCCAGTTGTGCAGCACTCTACTAAGGAGAATGACGACTTGCTGAGCCCTGATGGACTTGCAAAGAAACTGGTGGAGGTGAAACAGCTTCACAAAGAGGTGGAGGACTTAAGGACGGCAATATCTGACAGATACGCTCAGGACATGGGAGACAACTGCATCACCCAGTAAAGAACACTCCCCAAAGTAAGACAGGGAATGAAGACTTGAAAATCTCAGGAGCCTCGTGCTCCTACAACCCAAAACCTATTCAGCACTTTACCATCCCTTTGCTCGGGTACAAGATGTGTGACTTATCCAACTTTTGAGAAATCAGGGGGTTTGTTGCCAGAAGTGTTTAGCTGCTGACTGGCTAACTGGAATCGTTCAGGGCTTCAGTGTTGGGCTTTGATGGAAAGCCAAATGCTCACACCCTGTAGGACTGACACTCATCTGGTGAGAGTAGGGAGGGCTTGATGTAAACCTGCTGCTCTTGCCTTTGGTGTTCCCATCATCATTGAGCAGTTGTGTTAACTGTTAAGTGTGCCAGTTCTGACCCCCAAAATCTGCTGCGTCTGTTTGTTCAGCTTTCGGTGCAGAACCAGGATCTCATTGAGAAGAACCTGACCCTTCAGGAGCGACTGCGGCAGGCGGAGCTGACAACCCAGCCTCTGCCTGCTGAGACAGCCCACCTCGCCCAGGAGCTACACAGCGAGCTGGCCAGTTGTCTGCAGGATTTACAGTCTGTCTACAGCATTGTCACTCACAGGGCTCAGGGCAAGGATCCCAACCTCTCTCTGCTCCTGGGCATTCGCTGTGAGTATGCAGAGCAATAGCAGAGCAAAGCCTTCGGTTCCTGCGCTGTGGCAGAGTTAAATAACTCACACATAGCTTAGAATGGAAGGTTCTTATATTTCTGGGGTTCTGAACCTTCTCTCTGTGGTCAGCTAGCTCTAAAGGTGCATGCTGTAATAACTAAATATTAAGTAGTACCTCTCTTGCAAATGTGTGTTGGTTTTTCTGGCTTGCTTGCAAATGTCTGTGATCCTTGGTTTTAGAATTGCGTGTGAGGTAACTCCCTTCTCTGCCCCCCCAGTTGTGCAGCACTCTACTAAGGAGAATGACGACTTGCTGAGCCCTGATGGACTTGCAAAGAAACTGGTGGAGGTGAAACAGCTTCACAAAGAGGTGGAGGACTTAAGGACGGCAATATCTGACAGATACGCTCAGGACATGGGAGACAACTGCATCACCCAGTAAAGAACACTCCCCAAAGTAAGACAGGGAATGAAGACTTGAAAATCTCAGGAGCCTCGTGCTCCTACAACCCAAAACCTATTCAGCACTTTACCATCCCTTTGCTCGGGTACAAGATGTGTGACTTATCCAACTTTTGAGAAATCAGGGGGTTTGTTGCCAGAAGTGTTTAGCTGCTGACTGGCTAACTGGAATCGTTCAGGGCTTCAGTGTTGGGCTTTGATCTTGTGGAATGTGTTTATGCTGTGTTTGCTGGAGCTGGTGTGGTCTCTGCTGCTGGGAGATGAATTCTGAATTGCCTTCCAGGCATGTCAACTGCTGAACATGCAGTTAAAATCATCACTAAAAAGAAACGTATGCCCTGGTCTTTCTGATAAATTCTCTGTGCAGATCCTGTGTGACTAGTAAGACCAGAGGATTATCAGAGAGTTCAGGGGATACCTGTGGACTTCAGAGGTGAGCAGGTGTGCCAGTTATACCAGTGCTAATTACATCCAGGTGCTACAGGCTCCTCGGGTCTCTGTGTGCACAGCTCTGGCTTTGGAGGCTTGTGTAGCCATTCACGGAGCAGGACCTGCTTTGCTCAGGGAAATGCAACCAGACTCTTTCAGTCACCGACAGAATTGGGGACTAAAGCAACACTAAGACTCTGAAAACACCCCCTCCCGGGCACTGTTACCCCAGAAGCCTTAAGCCTTTTATCCCCCCCCCTCCTCTGAAATAGCGCTCTGAGCGTGGGTATGATTCAGACTGCAGAGGAAGTGGAGTGATGCTGAAGTGCCTTAATGTGCCAGAGAAACCTCCTGTCCCCACACTGCTTGGTGCCTAATGCATCTGCTGGCAGGGGGAGGAACTGCTGTTTCTCCTAGCAGCTTTTTAAGTCATCCCAAACAATCCTGGGGAGCCTTGAATGTCTGGAGCCCCTGCCGGAGCCGCAGAGAGGTTCTGAGCCTCTGGGGAACCCTGCTGCAGGCCAGTGGGGAGACATCACTGCTTGGCTGGCTGCTCGCTGGGGAGAAGGCCATTCCTGGTCCTAAACGTGGCAGGATGGATCCCAGAGCTCTCGCTGATGTCTGTAAGGCAGAGACCACTCAGGCTTTGTCATAGACCTGCCCCTCGTTCTCTGGGAGCTCCCTATTCCTCTGCTAAATAACAGGATTTCTAAATAAATCAGCTTGGGATGCGGTTCTCTTTGTCACAACCCTCCTTAACCTTAGAGGCAACTTGTCCTGGTGCAGACTCCTTGCTTGTGACAACTCTGTGGTGCTGAGAGTGGAGCTTTTTTGGTTTTTAGCTTGAGTTAAGAGCAAGATAAGAAGTCAGTTACGTTAACGGGGAGGGGGGGAAATACTGATGAAACTTCTGTCCGTTTGGTCATTCTTGGTTCACGTTGGGGGCTGCATTTGTGAGAAATGCTTTTGTTATTCCTTTGGGTTAAAACTTAAGACCAAATCTGTTCTGTTCTTTGTGTTTGGCCACCGTGGTGGGGTGGGGTGGGGTGGGCTGGGGGCAATAAATGGTTCAGTTTGCTGTCCCGAGCTGCCCCCTGCGTGGCATCTGTGGGGCAGCCAGCGGCCTGCTCTGTTCTTGCTGTGTTTGGTTTATTACATTTCTGCCTGTTTCTGCTCCCAGGCTGCTGATGCCACGTACTGAGCTTAAATGTGGGCCAAGGCTATTTTTTGGAACTCCTTTGTCCTGGCTGCTGGGGTGCAGAGAGCAGCACCAGCTGTGGTGGTTGCTCTCTCCCGCAGGTTAATGGGGTGCTGTTTGGCACCATCCCCTTTCTCTCCTCACTCTTTGGCGGGGTGTGAGACCTAGTTCCTGGGTGCTGTGCCCCCTGTCCCTGCAGAGCTGGCTGTGAAATGGGATCGTGGCTGGAACCCCATCTCGGTTGATGCTTGTTGGGCTGCCCAGCTGGGGGGGGAGTAACACCCCCATGTTATCCCCCTGCAAAAATGGACCTGTCTGGCTAAAATGGTGATCCCACCTGCCATAGGTGACCGCTGCTCTCCATGCTGGGGAAATCTTGGGCCTTTCCTAACAGAGCACCCCAGACAGGGGTGGCAGGACCCCCTTCTCCCCTCAGTCCCCCTTGTGTCTGCCCGGTGCTGTGTGTCCGTCTGTCCCCCCCCACCCCGGGTCGCGTTGCGTGTGCGGTGTATTTATACCAGCCTTCGTCTCGCCCGTTTGTTTGTACTGAGTATTTTGAATATATTATAAAATAAAGCTGCTCTGCTCCACTTCTTGTGCGAAGCGGCTGGGTGCCGGGGGGGGGAGCCGGGGCCGGTCCCCGCCGAGGCCGCATGCCCGGGCCCGCCGGCCCCATTGGTCCCCGCAGTCACATGCCGGGCGGTGGCGGGGCCGCCCGTTCCCTCCTTCCCTCCCTCCCTCCGAGCTTCCCTCCGCCGGGCTGAGCGCTGGGAGCGGCCGCGATCGCAGCATGACGGGGTCCCTCTTTTCCCTGGGGTGGGCGTCTCTTCTCCGTGCAGCTGCGAAACCCCCCCCTACCCATCCCAGCTGTCTCCTCCTTTCCTCACGCTGCACCATCCCCTTTTTCCCCCGAATCCATCCCGCTGTCTTGGTGTCCCCCACCCCACGCAGGACCGAGCCCACCATCCCCTTTTTCCCCCCGAATCCATCCCACTGTCGTGGTGTCCCCCACCCCACGCAGGACCGAGCCCTGTGGCCAGCTGGGGTTTGGCCTGTGAGCTGGGTGTAGGTGGCACCATGGGGGTGCCTGCCCACCCTTCAGGCTCCCCTCCAGCTCCCCATAACCTGCCTTTCCCACCCGTGTTCCAGATCAAATCCCAACAGAGTGAAGTAACCAGAATCCTCGATGGGAAAAACATCAAGTACGAGCTGGTGGATATCTCCCAGGACAACGCTCTGCGGGAGGAGATGAGGGCAAAGGCAGGCAACCCCAAAGCCATCCCGCCCCAGATCGTCAACGGAGACCACTACTGTGGGGTAAGGCTTGTGCTCTGCACTGGGATAAGCACCGTGGGGGCTGGGGGGTGGGCAATAATCCCATTCCCTTGGTTTTGCCACAAATGGTGTCACAGCACCTTTCAAAAGGCATCATGAGGTGCACGGACAAGGCACTGCCAGGGTTAATGGGCATTTGGAACATGGTGGCTTGTGAAAAATGGGACCCAGGGAGGGGGGCTCTTTTGTGAAAAATGGGACCTAGGGAGGAGGACTCTGTGTAACTGTGGGGCAGGGGTGTCTGCGCTGTGCGGGGCTGTCCCTGCATGTCCCTGTCACCCTCCGTGTGACTGTCACTCGTGTTGTGAACCAGTTTGTGCTGCGTGCTCAGGGGACTCCACGCTGCCTGATCCCGGTGGGGGCATGCAGCTCACTCTTGCCTCGTGAGGAACAATGTGGCTCTTCCCTGCAGGATTACGAGCCCTTGGTTTTGCCACAAATGGTGTCACAGCACCTTTCAAAAGGCATCATGAGGTGCACGGACAAGGCACTGCCAGGGTTAATGGGCATTTGGAACATGGTGGCTTGTGAAAAATGGGACCCAGGGAGGGGGGCTCTGCGTAAGTGTGGGGCAGGGGTGTCTGCGCTGTGCGGGGCTGTCCCTGCATGTCCCTGTCACCCTCCGTGTGACTGTCACTCGTGTTGTGAACCAGTTTGTGCTGCGTGCTCAGGGGACTCCACGCTGCCTGACCCTGGTGGGAGCGTGCAGCTCACTCTTGCCTTGTGAGGAACAATGTGGCTCTTCCCTGCAGGATTACGAGCTCTTTGTGGAAGCGGTGGAGCAAAACACCCTGCAGGAGTTCCTGAAGCTGGCCTGAGCCCCGGGCTCCCCTCCCGTCCTGGACTCTACCTGCATTCCTGAGCACCCTCATCTCCCACCACCTTCACTTCCAGGTTGTCAGCGCTCTCCTGGCACCGTGACCCGTCTCCCAGCGTAGGGAACAAACCCATGACCAAAACTACTCATTGCAGCTGCCTACAATTCCCTCCTGCCTAACCCTGATAATCATTTCAGAGGGATCCAAAGAAAGTCTGACGCTCGCTGGGCATGGCCTTTCAACAGAGCTGGGCCTGGCTCACACCGCAGCTTCCAGTGCCTCTGTAAACAGCAAAGCCTCTGGGGCTGTGCGAAGTGCAGCCGTCCGTCAGCCCTCTCCTCTGCAGGGAGAGCTTCTGCTTTAGGAGGGGAAGGGCTTAGGGTTGCATGTTACTTCCCACTTCTCCCAGTTGCTGTTAAAATTGTAAATCCTGCTGCCTCACTTCCTTTTTTTTCCTTTTTCCTTTTTTTTTTTTTTATCTCAACCGCAGAGATTATGGCAACTAAGTTGAATTTTTTTTTGTTTGTTTGTTTTAATTTAATGCAAAAATACTGCACAAAGCTGGGGTCTGAATGCCCACCGCGGAGGAGGCTGGGGGAGAAGGCTGGTGTCACTTGGGGAGGGGGATGGATGGGCCTAAAAGTGGGCCCCGGGCTGCTCCTCCGTCTGCCCTCGGCCCCGCTGCGGTGCCAGGGCTCCCTCGTGAGCGGTAATGGCTCAGGGCTGCTCCAGAACAGCTGATGCTCCAGCTGTCTTACCTTTCCTCTTTGAGTTGGCTTTTTATTATTTTTATTTTTTTTTTTGCAACCCGGACCAAGTGCATTTTGTTTTCCTGCCAAAAAGCGAGTTGTTTATAACCAGTGTTGTCTTCCGAGATGCTATTAAATGTTACTGTACCTTTCACCTCGGTACTCCTGGGCTTCTTTTTAAATTTGGTTTTATTTTGACTACAGGTTAAACGTCACCCTTCCTAAAGATTCTGAGTCATTTCCAGCTCAGAGAACCCGAGTCAGTTGGTACTTGCTGCTGCAGCCTGACACAAAGATCTTAACACCTTAGATTGCTGCCACCTAATCAAAGGCTCAAAGGACTTATCTGAATATTCTACAGCGTGGTAGTGACAGGTACCTCTCAAGAATTCCTCTCCTCTGCGTGGTAAGAACGACAGCCTGGGGGAGGGACAGCTTCAACCAGACACTGGAGTGAAAAACAACCCCCTGGCACAAAAACTACCTGGTTGG